AACGACTCTACAATCAAACTATCGCTTACTTTTTATATAATCTATAGGTCCATGTGACAGTTGTGGATGAAAATGATTCTACACCTAAATTTGACCAGTCATCGTACAGTCAATCTATAGTTGAAAACATCAGTAACGTTACAGTTATATCTGTTACTGCTAGAGATTTAGATAGTGGAAGGAATGGTGATGTTATATACTCTATAGTTCAAGGCAATCAGGGTATGTCTTGTCTTACAAATTCTCTTATTGCCCACATCGAAATAGCGAAAAGAAACTATGTAAGGAAGTGTACAACCTGTACAAAAGCTCGAGTATGTTGCAAACATGGGACGCTTCTTTTTTCGCTTGGTAGAATTCTTTTTTCTTCTGCCCCACTGTTATCAGCCTGATTGGGACTGCAATGTTCTGTCTAACATTCAGCCCATTCAGTGAAACATTCAAGATCATAATGCTTATTGGTTGAAGAATGACCTATTATTACATCCTCCAGGGATATAGCAGGTACAAGTTATAGTATTTGACATAACTCCCCGATTTATTGACACGAAATCTATCGATCACTCAAGAAATAACATTCACATCTAAAGAAATGTAAATCAAAAATACGGTTAAAACATAATAGTGCTCTAAAGAAGCACGAATGGAGTGTTTATTAATAAAAGGCATTGGATGCAGTAAATTTCAATGGCCAATGATCTGAAGTAGTAACAGATATGAAACAATGATATTAGATTTTACGATTTAAAAGTATGTGAAAGTTTTGAATATTGTCCATAAATACAGGGGAGATAATACCGCTGTATTTCCAGAAAAGATATTTCCAATTTTATAACATTTGAATCCGTGTGAGACGGTGTCATTTCTTAAATATTTCATCTGATCAAATAGTTCATCTTAGTCTGTCTCAGCCCATCGACGACTAATATAATCACATTGGAAAATGTGGACTAATCTTAAGGGATATGGAATCGCAAAAAAAGGGTTATTTTAACTTGCAAATAGCGATGCGATACCGCTTAAATTGATCCCTGCATGTTAAAAAGCTTTGACCATAACAGGAAAAAACCATTTCTCTGTTTATGGTGATGGACTGTTCCCTTAACCAAGATAATATAATTTCCATCTAAATCTAATTTCTCAAATAATTCATTCCAAAGTTGTTTTCTTCTATATCCGGGATAACTGANATCTATGTAATTGTGACAAATAGGTGAACAAGTATTTTAA